CACATCTGTCAGCCCTGTCCCCTCACCCACTCACACCCACACCTGTCAGCCCTGTCCCCTCACCCACTCACACCCACACCTGTCAGCCCTGCCCCTCACCCACTCACACCCACATCTGTCAGCCCTGTCCCCTCACCCAGTCACACCCACACCTGTCAGCCCTGCCCCTTCATCCACTCATGCCCACACCTGTCAGCCCTGCCCCCTCACCCACCATGTCCACACACCCATGTCCATGCCCACACCTGTCATTTTGATTTACCATCCTCATGCTAATTATGCCTAAAGCCACGTTTCCTCTGACCCTGAAGTCCCCCAGTGTCACCACCTGGAGGTCTCAAGCGCCCTCCAAACTCAACATATCGTGAAGTGTGTCTCCCAGAGCCCGCTCCCCAAGTAAGTCCCGGAGGAAGAGAGTCTGTGTGAGGAGCCAGGGACAGCACCAGGCTCTGGGGCGCCCTTCTAAATCTCACGGCGGCCTCTGACCTCTGCAGCCTCCTGGCTCATCCCACAGAAGGTCTTCATGGGAAGGAAAATGAGAACAATTCCAAAGGGATTAGAATTTGTGATGGATTTGGAACTAATGACCTTGGGGGACGTACCATCCCTTGGAAGGAGCCACAACTCCTGCAAATCCTTCAATTCTACCCCACATTTTAAAGACAGCCCCAGTTACCCCCCTCCCTGGGGTCCACGACGTTACCCTGACATACTGGCACCCCTAAGAAAAGATAAGGGCGTGTCCATGAGTGAAGTGTATATACTCCGTATCCCATATGAGGTACGGGGATCTGAAAGGAATGCCTCTGCTAGTATTTCTAATAAATTCTCACCCTGTGAGTTTTCTTTAATCAAGCCCTTGTACTGCAAAGGCCCAGCAGGTCCTCCTTGCTCAGAAACCCAGCCACCCATGGTCAGAGAGGACAGCCCTAGGCCTGTGCTCTCTGAGCCTCAGCTGTCTAGAGATGCCTTGAAATATAACACACCAACCAGATTCTCACGTCGGTCACCTGACCAAGGAGTCCTGGGCCCTGGGACGAGGTGGGACTTGCGGGCAAGCATCAGGGTCTGCACGGGGTCTGCATGGGGTAGTGTCAGAGCTTGCTCCGGCGGGAGCCCCTCACTCAGGTTCCTCATGCAGTGGCTTGGGCACAGGGCAGGGGAGGGGAGGAGAGAGGCCAATTTGCATAACTTATGGGGTTGAGATAGCAATATTTACTAAAACAGCACCACGGGCTCAATCCTGGTGAATACATTCATGACCCCACAATTGTAAACATGACTTTGAAGGCACACTTGTGAAGAAAAGAATCTAGGTCAACATTCTGCAGTAGAAATATAATTAGAAGTCAATACCTGAATCTCTTTTAAATTAAACTTCCATGATCCATTACAGTTTTCACTGTTGTCGGGCCTTGAAATTCAAATTTAAAAGAGAAAATAAGACATATTAGTCTTGGTTGGGCAGCTTCTACATGACCTTAGAAAACACTTTATTAAAGGCTGAAAAAAAATAAAAAGAGAGATTATTTTTATTTATTTGTTTGTTTGCTTGTTGAGATGGAGTTTTCCTCTTGTTGCCCAGGCTGGAGTGCTATGGCGCAATCTCGGCTCACTGAAATCTCCGCCTCCTGGGTTCAAGCAATTCTCCTGCCTCAGCCTCCCAAGTAGCTAGGATTACAGGCATGTGCCATCATGCCCATTTAATTTTGTATTTTTAGTAGAGATGGGGTTTCTTCACGTTGGCCAGGATGGTCTTGAACTCCCGACCTCAGGTGATCTGCCTCCACCTCCCAAAGTGCTGGGATTACAGGTGTGAGCCACCATGATCAGCAGAAAGAGAAATTCTAATTAGGAATTCCTTATCACATGTGGGATGCTTAAGAAAGAAGGTGCAGATAAGAGGAGTGAGAGTTCGAATTTCTTAGAAAAGAAACTGTGTGAAAAGCATCCAGGAGTAATGCAAACAGACCGCTGCTTAGAAAAGGAAGCACCATGGACCACCTAGTAGCACCTAGAAGCCGGGGCTCTGGGGTTCACCCTGGCTGGGTAGACAGCAGCCTCTGCTGCTGCCTAGCACTGGGACCTAAGTGACCTGACCCCTGGCCAATCTCCACCCCACAGCCACAGCATGAGCACAGCGACAGTCTGTCCTTTCAGTGGGGAGGAGGACTCCAGGAGATGACAGACCGACCACGTCAGAAGGTGTCTGGCGTATGCAGAAGATTGGCTTGTAGGATTTTCATTTCACATTTCATAGCAAACGCACTGACACCATCTGCTTTAGAACTTTAACTCCACCCTCACACGTCCAGTTCTGGACATATCCACTCTCATTCGTGAGTGCTGCCTAGTCCACAGGGTCACCAACCTGCTCCCTAAGACCCTGAACCCTCAGAACCCCAAAGAGGCCAGGGAGGAGAGTGTCTTCAGGGTCAACAGCTGGACCAGCTTCTCAAACTTGCCTGACTTTACCCACTGGACCAGACAGCGTTGCAAAGTTCATTCCAGGCTCAGCAATGAAACAGCTACAAGGAGCAGAGGCACAATCAGAGCATTTGACAACAGCAGGGGACAGGACACCGTGCAAAGTCCAGGAAAGCCAGAAGCCCCAGAGATAGGAGGTCAAGGTCAGCTGACCAGCCAAAGGAGAAAGTGAGACCCAAAGCCAAGTACCCACCAATCCCTCTTCCCAAGGAGCCAGGAGGCACCAATTAAGCTAAAAGGGCCCTTTTCAATCCCGGCATCGAGGCAGCAGGACAAAACTGATCCTTTGGATGGGGCGATTAATGTACATGGTCCAACATCACAAATATGTCCTTGTTGAAAAGAATTTACTATTGGGGAACAGGCTGTAGTAAAAGTTTCCTTTAAAAAAAAAAGGAGAAAAAGAAAGAAAAGAATTTACCAAACAAAAGGCAGACAAAACCAGAAAAAAAAATGGGACTGTCTTTGAAGTGCGTACTACAACGGAGTTACTAACACACGTTTATACATTTTCATAGAGTTATTTATAATGAACCACAAGAGAACAAAATGAGAAAATTAAAATGTACTGACCCAAACATGTGTCCACAATCTGTAAACACATATTTTAAAAAGCATTATTGGCTGAGTGTGGTGGCTCACACCTGTCATCCCAGCACTTTGGGAAGCCAAGGTGGGTGGATCACCTGAGGTAAGGGGTTGAGACCAGCCTGGACAACATGGTGAAACCCCATCTCTACTAAAAATACAAAAATTAGCTGGGTGTGGTGGCACACGCCTGCAGCCCCAGCTACTTGGGAGGCTGGGGCAGGAGAATCGCTTAACTTGGGAGGTAGAGTTTGCAGTGAGGTGAGGTCGTACCACACTGCACTCCAGCCTAGGTGACACAGCAAGACTTCATCTCAAAAAAAAAAAAAAAAAAGCGTTATTGTTCTATGAAGGCAGAATTAAAGAACAAGAGAATCAGGGTTCTGCTAGAAAGACTAAAGATACTTTTAAATAAGAATCTGGTCTATTGGATGAACTTCTAACAAAAATAACAAGAATAAACATTAAGACTACATTCAAGCTAGCCTTCCCAGTCAGCGAGCAGCTTCTGCCTCTGTTAATTGTGTGAGACACTTGCCACAGTCCGTGTATCGTCCAGTAATCCGGAGGGTTTTTACAGTCCTTTTGAACTTCCTAGGGAGAAAATATAACAAGAAAATGATTGGCTCCTTGTTTATCAAAAGACATTTAGCAATCCTACTTCTTGCAACACACGCCAACGAGATACAGGTACCATTCTAATAACACAGGCTAAAACCAGTGTTAGTACAAAATAAATTGCTTACCACAATACACCATGAGGAGTCTACACTAGGGCTGGATGTTGTAAGCCTATCCTCAAACATTTCACTTAACAGAAACACGTGTTTTTATGCGCCGGGTGCAGTGGCTCATGTCTATAATCCCAGCACTTTGGGAGGTCAAGACAGGTGGATCACCTGAAGTCAGGAGTTCCAGACCAGCATGGCCAATGTGGTGAATCCACGTGGTAAATCCCTATCTCTACTAAAAATAAAAAATTAACTGGGCATGGTGGCAGGCGCTTGCAGTCCCAGCTACTCCAGAGGCTGAGTTAGGAGAATTGCCTGAACCCAGGAGATGGAAGTTGCAGTGAGCTGAGATTGCACCACTGCACTCCAGCCTGGTTGACAAGAACGAAACTCCTCTCAAGAAAAATGAAACAGCCATTTTTCTTAAGCCAATCTGATGGAAACACTCTCATTTGCCCAGAGATAATTTGCTTAACATACACCCAAAAATACATGTTTAAGGACAAAAGGCTGAGAGTACCCTGCTAGACTGAAGCTTGTTCAGGTACCAAGTCTAAATAGATTAATGAAATAATAAGTATCAAAAATTTGGAGCCAGAAAAATAAAAAGGTAAGGAGTACATCCTTAATCACCATCATAAAGATAAATTCATAGAGGAAAAAAAGTCTCAGCATTTTTTAAGGAGCTTCAAATTTTTTAGCTAAAATTGAGTTTTTCCAAAATAGTCATCCAGAAATATACATGGGCTATGGGAGTGGATGAAGCACAGCCCATGCCCGGCCACACACAGCAGGGACGGCAAGTGACAGCACAAGTCTGAGCCCGAGGACCCACCCGGGCACCAGTGTCCACCCTGCCCAGCGTTTTCCCTCAAATTGCCTTTTGTAGGAGGCAGCTTCAGTTCACGTTTGATCTCGAAAGGAAGAGAGTCTGATTCAGCTGAGAGGTATCAGCCACTGAATGCCTGAGCTGCAAAACACCTGAAAACGGAGCAACCTCGAGTATTAGAAATGAGCAGGAGTGGGCCAGGCACGGCGGCTCACGCCTGTAATCCTGACACTTTGAAAGGCCAAGGTGGGTGGATCACTCAAGGTCAGGAGTTCCAGACCAGCCTGGTCAACATGGTGAAACCCCATCTCTAAAAAATATACAAAAATTAGTTGGGCGTGCTGACGGGTGCCTGTAGTCCCAGCTACTTGGGAGGCTTAGGCAGGAGAATGGCTTGAACCCGGGAGGCAGAGGTTGCAGTGAACCGAGATCTCCCCACTGCACTCCAGCCTGGGCGATAGAAACTCCATCTCAAAAGAAAGAGAAAGAGAGAGAGAGAGAGAGAGAAAGGATCAAGGGCATAAGTTGGTCCAGATAAGCAAAATTTCATTTTCATTTGTCAACAGAAGAAGAGAAAGTCATTACTGCTCAGTGCTAGAGGAAGAGGCCAGAGGGCAAAACCTGTAACTTCTTTTTTTCTAAGTAAGATTTTTAATACAACATGATACTTTATAACTGTTATACCTTATCCCCCCTAATTTAGTTTCATATTTGGACCTTCAAACCATCTTGGAATAAATAAGAAAAATTTTAAGTGCAAAAATAAGTAATACATGATTTTATCATTTGGAGATAATTAAATCAATAAATATTTTCCTGTGATTTAAAAAAAATAAACAATAGGAGTCATCAATCTTGTGTATACTTCTGGACTTTAACTTGTAACAAATATATTCTGTTAGCATATAAAATGTTTTTATCTTATTTTGAAAGCATTAAATACGTAGGGTTGTCCAAAATATGTGTATTGTTTTTTAAAGCTGACTCCAATGCATCTACATTCTACTAAAAACAAACAAAATAATCAGACTGATGTGCACTTATTAGGAAGCAAGTTTAAAAATTTGGAATTTTTTTTAAAGTGCTGAGATTTGGAAGAGGAATATCTTCCTCTTCCATTCATTACCTTATGATGAACATAACAAGGACTCAAACTCAAGTTGAGGAAAAAAAAAATAGAGGTTCTATGAAAGGAAGATTAGTAACAAACATTCAGGTAAAAACAAATAGCACCACAGTGAAGTGCACTAAGGTGTTAAAGGAGAGGTACCTTATTCCCTGCAGAGTGAATGCTCCTTCTGAAATGTATTGCAACATATAAATGCAATTGGCTTTGTTTTCATAAAATGTAAACTATGTAACATTATGTTGTATTTGACCGGAGCGTAAAAAGTTACCACAAGACAAAAGTATGCCAGATTGCAGGGTCATTTATTTATGCCGGCGACCACAGAGGACTCACGTCTCTCCAACCTGTGGTGGCAACAGGAGGGTGCCACGATTTTTTATACCCGAAAAACCACCTTGGGAGTGGGGGTGAGGGGCGGGGATGGGGATGAAAAGGCTTCAGACATTCCGAGGGCTAGTGGATTCTGTAAATTACCTCCTGGGCAGAGATGAGGGTGGGGGTCCCCGGACATTCCAAGGGATGGGGACTTTTGTCATTCCATTTGTTACTTAAGTGGTTTACAGAAGTCAAGATAAACATTTGTTTACACATTATCTGGTTAAGGTGGAAATCACAGACCTTAGTTACTTATTATAAGTCGCAGGAGCCAAGATGGCATGGGTTAGGACTGCTTGCCTGTCACATTAGGGCCACAGAGAGCAGTTACTGATAAGAAAAGGTAAGCAGCTTTACATAGTTTTGAAGAACAAACTGGCAGTTCTATTTACAGAGGCCAAGGACAGTAGTTATTGTGAGGAGAATGGGGCAGCCATTTCAACTTATCTAAAAACAGTTTTGCATTTTATAAAATAGTTTTGCTCTGGTTCTGGCTCTAGGCCAGCACAATATCACAATTATGTATAGTTCAGTAATTGGAATATTTGTTCAATATAATGAACTAGAAGGAATATAATTTTCTGTAGATGAGTGAACCAAATGGTAACCATAAAACTTGTAACTTCACCTCTGCCACGCCCAACTCTATCCCTCAGGGAACCCAGTTCAAAGCCAGAAGCTGGGATCCTTTCCTGCGGGAAGTGTGGGAGCAAAGCCTGCACCCCCCGGGGCTTTGAGCGCTCTGCACACGCTTCTGCACACACTCAGTTCCTACATCTGCCTGCACGGAGCTGGGCGAGAGCCCAGGACACCAGAAACCCCAGACAGACCAAGCATCTTTGACACAAGCATCTCATCAAAGAGGGCACCAGGGACAGCGATCAAGGCCTAGGAGGACACCTGGGCTGGAACAGAAACCCTCACCGCAGCCCAGTGGAAGTGCATTCCCTCACAAGGGCATTTTGAACAGATTTTTAAAAGTCTATTTCTAGAGCCTCAAGGCAAAGATGTGCCTCCATGCATATTTACATTCAGTGTGCAGGGACACATTCACATTTTCACATGTAAATGCCTCCCTGAGGGCAGAGCAGCCTGGTCTCAGGCCCTGGAGGCAGATCCTTCCCTGCAGGTCAAACTCGGTGCTTTGGAAGTTCAAGCTCTTCCTCCACAGGGCCCTTCAGTGGGGAGGACTCCAGCAATCCCTCACTATCGCAGTAACACCAGCACAAGTTGGTGCTGGGCAGCTTTCTGCTCCTCCTACCTACCACCCTACCGCAAGGCAAGGAAACAGCACCAGGGGCGCAAAACTGAAAGCGGGGCAATCTTGAGTATTAGATGAGCAACAGCGTAATTTGAGCCAGATAAGCAAAGTTTCATTTTCATTTGTCAACAGAAAGATCAGTGAGGAAGTAGAAGAGAAAGTCATTACTGCTCAGTGCTAGAGGCAAAACACACAGCCTGTGTGCTCCTAACAGAGCCTGATGACCAGCATCTATGCAACAACTAACTACTGGCCACCTCCTGCCTGCAGTCATGGAAAGGCCTCATGAGGGAAGACTCAGGCCCAAATTTCAGAAGCCCTGTCAATAAAATTAGGGCTAGCTCAGCAGCACGATCAACCCCTGTGGAAGTGTGCGACGGACATCAGGGTCGGCCTGACACACTGAGCCCGGCAGGCCCTGAGGGGCAGATCCAGGCAGCGTCCAGGCTGCTGACACTCCAATGAGAAGGGCCTGGACACGGACACCCTGAAGGGATGTGAGGCACGGTGAGAAACACAGCCAGGTGAGGAAAGGCCAGCCTGGAGGGCCGCGTGCCATGGGTGCCAAGCACCGCAAAGGAGGCAGGGGTGCTCCCGGGTCCTCTTCACTCACAGGACACGCTAATAACACATCCAGTACTGTCTAATACATGGAGGGAGGAGACAAACCGAGGCCCACTGTGGGTTGAACTGTGTCTCCCAAAAGATAAATCCAAGTACTAACACCTCCACCCCTCTGCGAATGTGCCCCTACATGAACATTTAGTCTTTGTAGATGTCATCAAGTTAAGGTGAGGTGATACCAGGTTAGAGAGGGCCCTAAATCCAATGACTGATATCCTCCTCATCGGGAGACAGAGAGACACAAGTGGAGAACACCTGTGAAGGAGGATGCAGAGGCTGGGGAGATGGGTCTGTTTATATGCCCAGAAATACAGAGGAGCACAGGTCCTTACTAGAAGCGAGCAGAGAAACAGAACAAACTCTCAGAGCCCGCAGGAGGAACCAGCCCTTCTGAGCCCTGGGTTGAGACTGCCCCTTCCAGACTGTGAGAATAAATTCCTGAGGTGCTCAGCGGCTGGCTTGTGGCACTTTATTACGGCAGCCCTGGGACGTTCACACACAGCCCACCTGGGGCCAGTCTCTGCAGGGGGCCCTGCCCACCGCAGCAGTGCCCACCTCCTGCACCAGCAGTGTGGGTGCCCTGAACGGGCACACAAACCCCTCTTCACGGGGCTCCCGGGTCCCAGGGCCTGTCAAGACAGAAACACTCACCTCGCATACTGTCTCAGGCCAATGCTGAACCAGAATTAGTTTTTTCCACTCATGTCTGTCTCTGTTAAAACACAAGAAATGTATTTTTCAAGAACTTTTTTAAAGTTACAGAAAAAATTCATCCACCCATCCATCCCTTCAGTCACTCATTCAGCATTGAGTGTTTGTGGGACAAGGAACGCTGCCGGCCCCGCTGCTGTGCACACTCCTGTGAGGAAGACAATAAACCCCTACACTAAGAAGGCACCTGTGGGGGCACACAGCGCTGAGAGGAGGGGGAGGGGGAGGAGGAAGGGCGGAGCACACCGGGAGTGCGGCCAGGAGGGCCTCACTGGAGGGAAGCCACTGAACCACAAAGCAACTTTCTCCTCAGGATGCTCAAGAGAAATGCAGGCCCACGATCCCTCCCCTGCATTTGTGAAACACACAGAGGCCTGAAACCTGGAAGCTTTCTCTAATTCATTCAGCAGCAAAACATAACCTGAACTAGCATGATGCTATTTATCGTCACTACCCTGAGTCAGTTTTTATATTTCACTTGCTTCTTTGCAGAATCTGTCATTTGATTTTAGAGGGCTCCTTCAGGTATGGCACCAGGACTGTTAACTTGAACACAGTATGTGCACTGCTTCATGAATGTTAACCAGAACATGCTAGAACGCAGCACTGCATCACATGATACCCAGAACACGGGTCCACACTCCACCACAAACCTGAGCACTGCGAAACTCGTCTGACTCGAAGACCTCAGAGAAGCCACTGTGGAGCCCCAGCTTATTCACTGAAGGAGGCCTCTAACTAGATTTGCGAAGCATAACAGAGGCTGAAGAAAAAAGTGCAGCTTACAAAAAACACACATGGGAAATGCCAGCAGCACACAGGAATATAAGTCAAGCAGACACTTCAGGATAAATCACATTTTAGAAGAGAAGATAGAAAGTAAAAAAAAATCAAGTTGTTACACTTTAGCTTTTGTAAATAATTGAGTCCCGTTAAATTTGTATAGAATTCATAATTAAGATGGTATGAAAACTTAGTTGTACACTGGAACTAATTATGCAAGCTCTCAGTACAAAAGAAAAAAAGCAATCAAGCATGGTGGCTCACACCTATAATCTCAGCACTTTGGGAGGCAGAAGTGGGAGGATTGCTTGAGCTCAGGAGTTCGAGACCAGCCTGGGCAACATGGTGAAACCCTGTCTCTACAAAAATTAGTCAGATGTGGTGGCATGCACCCGCTGTACCAGCTACTTGGAAGGCACTGAGGCAAGAGGATAGCTTGAGCCCAGGAGATGGCAGTTGCAGTGGGCCCAGATTACATCACTGCACTCTACCCTGGGTGACAGAGCCAGGGCTTGTCTAAAAAAAAAAAAAAAAAAAAAAGAAAAATGAGCTGAGCTGCAGGGTGAGAATTAGAGCTGAGAAAAACATTAAAACATTTTTACCTTTAGGTGCAAAAACCTCATTTTACATGGGTGGAAGCCGAGGCTGGAAAGCTAAGCAATACCCAGGAAGATGAGACTATCAATATGCTTACAATAAAATACCAAGACTCAAGAGCATTTGTAACAAACTCTCCATCTACAGCCAGGCAGAGTGGTGTGAGTGTAGGAGACCCCCTCCCACACGCTCTACTCAGAGAAAGTAATGGAGAAGCTAAAGACTCAGCAGAGGAAAAACGAAAAATCACCAAGGTCTCAAACCCAGTTAGAGCTTAGGGAAATGCCTGCTGATCTACGAAGCCCTCGTGCTCTGAATCAGCTGTTCCCGCAAATCTTGCCTGCTCAAGACCATCTAATTAAATCAGCTGCATGAATTATGGGAAGAGTGGGGGATCCACATATAACAGCCTGTTTTTGGTGAACGTTTACTTCCAGCCAGACATCATTCCCAGTACATTCTGTACCTTAACTGACTTCTCCCGCAGCCAACTCTATGAGGCAGACTGTTACTATTTCTACTTTACAGATGAGGAAGCTGCAGTGCAGAGAGCTTAAAGGTCCCACATCTGGGTGTGAACTGGCAGTTGACACTCAGCCAGCACTGGCCAGCACACCTCCCTAGTGAGACTCTGAACCTCATGGCCAATATACAAGGACATAAATGTAGCTCTTTTTCAGAATATAATGCTACCTTTTAATGTATAGGATTTGAAAAAAAAAAAAAAAAAGGTGTTTAAAAAGTAAAACCCCGGCGGCGCATGGTGGCTCATGCCTGTAATCTCAGCACTTTGGGAGGCTGAGGTGGGCAGATCACCTAAGGTCAGGAGTTCAAGACCTGCACAGCTACTAAAAGTACAAAAATTAGCCAGGTGTGGTGGTGTGCTCATGTAATTCCAGCTATTCAGGAGGCTGAGGCAGGAGAATTGGTTGAACCCGGAAGGCAGAGGTTGCAGTGAGCTGAGATCAGGCCACTGTACTCCAGCCTGGGTGACAGAGTGAGACCCTGTCTCAAAAATACAAAAATAAATAAGTAAAAAGTAAAACTCACCTTTCCCACACCTATGTAAGTATGAAATCCTCCTATTAACCCGATCATCACCCAAATAGAAGGAAAAAATATGGAATTCAAATATTGGTATCTTCCACAGAATTAAAGTTGGAATTTTTTGCAGCACCACCTGTTTATCTCTAATTAATTTGGGTGGCACACGGACAGAAAAACAGGGAGGGCAAGCCAGGGTAAGGGAGTCAGAATAGGATAATCAAAAAGAGGAAGAACTGCTTTCGCCACTCGATACAGTGGAAGCTAAAATTAAGTGTCCTCTAGGCGACTTCTCTGGGAGAACTTCTAGTGCAGGAACCAAGCGTGCCGCTTCCTAGGCAGGGAGTCCTCCGTGGATTTCCAGTTCAGCTCCAATCCAGGACCCCACCCACCACCTCCCCCTACTCCTTCAGGGGTCACCCCGGGGCGTGCTCAGGGCTCCCCACAACCCAGTCCTTCCCGGGGGTCTCTGCAGGTTGTGTCCAGGACTCCCTCTCGCCCCTTACTCCTTCCCAGGGGTCACCCCGGAGCGTGCTCAGCTACCCCCATCCTTCCCAGTCGCTGACCGAGGCTCAGAGAGCGCGGACCCAGAGAGCTGCAGCCTGCACCCCGTGGAAAGCTCGATGGCCCGGCTCCCACGCGCCCCACTTTACCTCGCAAGGTAACTCACCGCAGGCGCTCGTCCGCACCGCCCAGACAGAGCAACGCGAGGCCGAGGCAGCCCAGCAGGGCCCCGCGCAGGGCTGCAGGGCGCATGGTGCCGACCTGCGGAGAGAGGGCGCCGCTCGCTGCCACCCCGGCCCCCGCTTCCCACCCGCCGCCCTTGGAAGGCTTCCGGGAGAAGCGCTAACTCCAAGGACCCCGCGCCGCCGCGCTCCTCCCGCTGCAGCTGCGGCCACGGGGTGCGCCGGGGCCCTGGGACGGCCTGAGCCTCGCGGGCCCCGCGCCGAGCTCCGGGAACAGGAGCAGCCCCCCGCGACCCGGGCCCCTCGGAGCTCCCCTTCAGGCTCGTGAGCCACGCGTGCACGCCCCGCGCCAGGCGCCGCGACCCCACCACGACCCCCACTCCTACGCGCTACAGCCACCGCTACAGGGTCAGCCGCGTTTCCGCCCAGCCCAGGGCGCTGGCGGTCAAGGACCCGAGCAGAAAGCCACGCCCCCTGGAGAGCACACCCCGCCCAGCGGACACTCCCCCACCCCAGGACGCCACGCCCCCGCCGGCGGACTCTCCCCACAGGACGCCACGCCCCCTGTAGCGCACGCCCCGCCCAGTGGACACGCCCCCACATGGCGCTACGCCCCCCGCCCCGCGGATAGGCCTGGAGAAGCGGAGGCCCGAGCACTTCTGCGGGCCTGTCGCGCGTCCGAGTTCCTTCGCCACGCAGGCGCCCCGCGCCTTTCCACGCAGCTCTGCGCCACTCTCTCACTCCCGGGTCCGAGCTAGCCTGGACCACCCGTCAGGACTGACCTCGGGGAACCGCCAGTGTCTGCGCCACCCCCCGCCTGCAAGTGGGCGCGCGACCCCCAGGGCCACCCGGCGCTCCAGGGACAGCCCCCAGACAACCTGCGCACCCCGCACCCGCGCTCGGAAGCGGCGCCCTGCACGCGGCCTGGGACCTCCTGACTGCAGACGAGCTTGGCTTCCCTGGCTCCCCGCAGCCTCCGGCCACCCTGCGCTCCACTGCGCAGCCCGAGGAACGGCCCCAGAATTAGGCGGGGACCTACGCGGGCCTCTCCCTGGAAACCTCTCGGATCTCCGCGAGCTAGGTGCCGGGAGTACCAACATTCCTAGAAGGGCCTGGCCCTCCCCGCGGGCCCCAGGAGCCCAGAAGGCATCTCTGTGGGGTCCACAAAGAGCCGCCTCGGGCGGCGACCTGGGAAGCCATCTAACAAGGGATCCCCTGCAGGAGGGACAGGCCACTCGCCAGGGATGAAGGGGACTTCATGGCAGCCCCAGCTTGGCGCAGCCAGGCCCAGTCCCAGAGGCCCAGGCGCTTCCCCCAACCAACACCCTGACCTTCCCCGCCCCTCAAAGGCGCGGGCTCACCCCTTCCCCTCTCCCCCACACCCCTGCCCAAGGGCTGTGCACAGGCAATGTCTCTACAGATGCTCCTCCTCTCTCCCCTCCGCCCAAGCACCCACAGCTAGTGAAGGCCATTACTATTTATGTCGAGTAAACTGTAGCGCCCTCGGTATCCTCCGGCACCCGTAACTGTCTAATGTATTACCATTCTTTGAAACAAAATATTTAAATGATTATTCGGTTAATATCTGTCTTTCCCTCTAGACGGCAAGGCGAGGCCCGTGTTTATTTTGCCCACCTTGAGTCCCGCCACGGAGCGCAGTGGATGGGGGACAGTCGGTGCTCAATGAAATGCTGCCTGTGGAACAGATGGGGGCGGCCGACACCTCCTTAGCTCCCCCAGGAGCTCCCTCAGGTCATGGTGTTATTCTCATTCTCCTTTTCCCTAACTACTTATTTCTTTCTGGCTCCTTTCATTCCGTCCTCTCAAGAACATAGGCACATGATAGTTTTTTTTTCTCTTTTCTTTTAAACTTAAAATATCCATTTTCTTAAAAGTACTTTCTAGAATCCTCACTTTCCCTTAAATCACAGTCCGATCTGTTTAAACATCTCCTTGTCAAGGAGGGCTATTATGACCACTGTCAAATATAAAGCGAATCTGGACTGGGGAGGAGCAGAGTTTTGAGGAGCATTATTGCAACCGCCTGGGGGTGGATGTCGTAATAGGGGGAGGGGAGGATTGCAACCGTGAGAGCCTCTGACCATAGATCTGTAAGTCTTCAGGTTCAGCAAAAAGAGTTTATAGAGAGCAGTAAACAGGGCTAGAAAGAACTGGGAGTGGCCGGGTGCGGAAGCTCACGCCTGTAATCCCAGCACTTTGGGAGGGCGGCCGGGATCACCTGAGGTCAGGAGTTCAAGATCACCCTGGCCAATATGGTGAAACCACATCTACACTAAAAATACAAAAAAATTAGCCTAGCGTGGTGGCAAGCGCCTGTAATCCCAGCTACTCAGGAGCCTGAGGCAGGAGAATCGCTTGAACCTGGTAGGCGGAGGTTGCAGCGAGCCGAGATCATGCCACTGCACTCCAGCCTGGGCGACAGAGTGAGACTCTGTCAGAGAGAGAGAGAGAGAGAAGAGGGAGGATGGGAGGTGGGATGAGAACCTGCCTTTATAGGACAATAGATCAGAGAAAGTTGACCCCTTGGCCAGCCTGTTCTCAGGAGGGACTGACTCAGGCTAAGGTGAGGCCAAAGGTCCTCAGCCTTGGGGGAAGAGGGGAGCCTCACCAAGTTTGCTTAACAAGTGTTTTATTCCTATTGATAGGCTCCTCATTGATGACAGAATGGGAATTGGAGGGTCTGTGTCTGGCTTTGTCCTAGGTACTGGGCGCAGGGGTGGGAGTGAGGGGAGCAGCCAAAACCCTTATCACTCTTATCCAAGTCATGAGGGAAGAGGGGTTCTCTTGCAGGCAGCCATTTTCCAGAACTCACAGGGAAGTTTTAGTTGGATCACAGTACTCAGATAAATTCAGCAGCATCCTACCCAGCCTGAAGAAGCCACACAATCATTTCCTGTTTCATTTCCTTGTTAATTTTCAACATGGCTCTCCCCACCGCTGAGAGTTCCTGTCACCTTCTCCTATATTACCCACTCCTTCTGCACCACCCTCTGCACCGGAAGCTAATGAGGAGCTTCAGGTCCTCATTATCCCATTCTGTATTCACAGTTTTACCTTCTTGTTCTTAAAGGACATCCAAATTGAAAGCTCTCAACCTGTGGGTAACACCCGCCTTGGGCACCAAGGAAGGAGAACTGCACAGACCCTAGGCACAATTAGTGCCTGAAGTATAACTCACTGCTTACTATATTTAGCTTATGTATATAATCATACTTAGTTCCATATAATCTTTCTATATAATCATATGGGTATTGTAGTCGGAGCTGTACTGACACATTTAGTGCTGATTTATAGAATCCTTCTGTATAACCATATAGTAGTTTGTAGTAGGAGGACTCCCTAGAGCAGTCACAGAACAGAAGCAGCACATGGGAAAACAGCCAGACCAGGACAAGAACCAAAGACCCAGGCAGTGGTATCCCTGCCTGAAAGGGCATATGCTGTATGGCAGGCTTGGAGCAAGAGCTTCCCCTCCTGATAAAGGAGTTGTAGTACCTTGCATCCAGTTCCTGTGGAAAGTAGGCCTCAGGCCTGAGATCCTGGAAGTAACCGAGGGAGAAGAACCCCTCTGGTGTGACCAGTCACGCGGCTGTACACCCTGTCAGTCTTTTCTCACTTCTGTGCTAGCTCAAATCATCCTCCCATAAATATCTTAAGAGAAGAGCACAAGTCTGTCAGCTCCTACTGCATTGGCTTACAGTATCCTTCTATTAGAAATCCTTTGAAGTCTCCAGCCCCCAGATAAGAAGTGTTGCACACGACACCTGTTGCACACAGCCCACCTCCTTGTCTCAGTGACCTAATGGGGGTGGACCCCTTTTCTGTACACAGCCCTCTACTACTGTGTACACCACGGCCCCCTACTGTGCACGGCCCACCTCTCTGCCCAGGAGACATAATGGGGCGGCCCCCTCGCTTGTGACTCACGTGATTAGGTATGCCCTATCACTAAGCCTGTAGATGATGACCTCACTCGTGACCCTTCCCCCTGCTTGTACCTAATGAATACAGACGCTTCTGGGCGAACCCAGGCTATAGGAACAGCCCATATCTGGTGCTGACTATTCCAATGGCAGAGCGATGGCAAAACTAGGCAGTTTAGGATTCTCGAACTCGAAAGAGCTTTGTCACACTTGGAAGAATCTCACCTTAAAAACTCCTTTGCATTTTGAATTACTTATGTACTGAGAAAGTGAGGCCAGGTACTGGGTGTTTCCCTGTCCTTTCTCTTCTTCTTCCTCTTCTTCTTCTTCTTTTTTTTTTTTTTTTTTCCCTCTGGCCCCTACCTTGTGTCTTCAGCACACTTTCCTACAGTTTCTGCTTATGTCTCTCTTGGCCTCTGTCTTTTTTGTTTTTTTTTTTGAGACAGAGTCTCACTTTGTGGCTCAGGCTGGAGTGCAGTGGCATGATCTCAGCTCACTGCAACTTCCATCTCCCAGGCTCAAGCAATTCTGCCTCAGCATCCTGCATAGCTGGGATTACAGGGGTGTGCCATCACACCCGGCTAATTTTTGTACCTTTGGTAGAGACAGGGTTTCACCAGGTTGGCCAAGGTATACCAGCACTCTTGCCTTGCATGCCAGCCTGGCCACAGAGGTACACATTTTGTGAAACTCTTTTATTCTGAGCTGTAGCTATGATAAAAAGAGGACAGGAAAGAAAGAGAAAAAGACCAGTCATGTGTTTCTCGCAATATAATTTGTTCTTCATTTGTGACTTAACCTGCTGGAACCACAGGGAAGAAACTTTTTGGAACTGGCAATAAGAATAAATCAGATCAAATAGCATGCTATTATGAAATGTCAAGCAAAGCAATGTATTACATTTAATCATGGATATTCAGTTTTCTTTTTTTTCTTCTTTTTTTTTTTATTGGAGAGATGGGATTTCACCATGTTGGTCAGGTTGGTCTTGAACTACTGATCTCATGATCCAACCCACTTTGACCTCCCAAAGTGCTGGGATTCCAGGCATGAGCCACCACACCTGGCCTCAGATGTCAAATTTTCAAAGCATATTTACTCTGAAAAAGGAAAAGGAAAAAAAACTCATGAGCTTACACACAAACATGCTCATATATGTAGATATTAGGCTGGTTACTTGGGCTGTTTTAAAATTATTTATCTTAAAAAGATAAGCAAGGCACTGAAGGCTTCTGAGATTTTACTACATAACTGAGCTCTTTTCCCTTAGATAAGCTCTTCTGCATTACAAATAATAGTTTAATATTACATTAACAGTTAATTTTGGCTGGGCTCAGTGGCTCATGCCTATAATCCCAGCACTTTGGGATGCCAAGGGGGGCAGATCATCTGAGGTCAGGAGATCAAGACCAGCCTGACCAAAATGGTGAAACACCATCTCTACTAAAAATACAAAAAAAAAAA